TTTTTTTGGGCAGAACCAGGGATCAAACTCAGGCCCTTGCGCTTGCCAGGGAAGCGCTTATTCCACTGAGCCATCTCCTCGGCCTTATTTTTTTTTAAATGCTCACTTTATAACTAGAAATTTGGGGATCATTTTACAGTAATCACAACAACACAAGTTGATACACTAAAAACATAGGGAAATACATGATAAAGTGTCTATTTTTATTATTTCCATTACCTTTTAAATCTTTAGCAAGTAAAAGAATTAAAGGAGAAGTGTAAAATGCAGGTGTTAAATTCTGAGCTGAAAGCCACACTTTTTTTTTATGTCTTGTAATTATTAACAGAGCTTAGGACTCAGCCATATGATCTGTACATGGTACATTTCTTGGTGGAGTAAATACACAAGGCTGGCTATTTCCATTAAAACAGGTGGGAGTGCCAGTCAAAGCATCCAGGGACAGACGCCCGGCCCAGGCGACCTGGCCAGCTACAGTTTCAGGGAAAGTGTTGCCCTTGGCCAGTTGTTAGTTTTCCTTTTTTCATGAACTAACTATCCACTGTAAAATGAGACGTTGGGAAAACATAACAGAAAAATACCACAGAGAACATAAAGGTCAAAAACAGCAATAGGAAAAACAGTGTGTTCTTGGAGTGGTAGCTACCCCACCCACCCTGCTGGCCTGTTAGGAATATTATTCCTTCCTCATGGCGTTGAACAGGGCAGGACGTTCTCACAGTCCGAACTGTTACTCAGTGGATGAAAGGCAAATTAGTATAACAGTGTTCCTTGCCTAGAGGAAAAGATCTGTGTCAGTAACGTATCAGTGCTGCCCATGCAGATCTACCTGTTGCCATCTGCTGTTTAGGACTAAGAAGAACACCCACAAGTTTTCCCAAATAGAAATTAAATTTTCTGAAATTATTATGATTATTCTGACCCAGATTGTGCCTAAATTCACTTTGGGAACGAGCCATTTTAAAGGTTACATTTTTATGCATTTTGTTTGTAATATGCACATAACAAGAGTTGATGAGCCATGTCACAGACGGAAGCTGGTGTTGGTGCTTAGCCTCTCCCTCCTAATGGAGCTGTCTGCAGTGTGCGCAGGAGACGTGTTTGGCTGCCAGGCCAGTGCTCTAGTTAGTCTGTGCCAGGCCCCTGCTGTTCCTGGCTCAGCTCTCTCTTCTCTAATATGACAAGGAGAAGGAGATGAAGTGGTTACTAGCACTCACTTGGATTCTCCAAGAAATTCAGAATCTGCACACCATTAGTACAAGTTTTCATGGAGTTCACTCAAGAAGGCATTTCTTCTTGGCTGCTGAATGCCTCCATCCATCTGTCCATCCGTCCATCAATCCATCCATCCATCCATCCATCCATCCATCCATCCATCCATCCATCCATCTATCCGTTCATCCATCCACCCATCAGTAAGCAGAGACTGGCACTCCCTTCTAGTGCATGAGGAGGCTGAGTATTTCCTTTGTCTGCAGCTGCTTTTGTTTAGAGAACAGGACCCGCATAGAGCTCCCAGCTCATCTCAGCTGCTAGGAAGCCAGTGCAGAGACGCAGAACCTGGAGCTAAGGTTGAACTCAGCGAGCACAGGAGAGCGCTTTGTAAATGGTAGCTTATGAGCCGGAGGTAAAGCTCTAGTTATTACCAGACCTGGAGCTGCTCCCTTCCTAGGCTGCACCTGTGTGCTGTGGGCATGCAGCCAGGCAAGACGTCTCGGCAGCCTCACAGTGCCAGTGGTGAGTGTTGCCAGCTATCCCAGGGTATGCTCTGTGCAGCCAGAGGTTCATCGACACCATCTATGATATTTATTTCTACTTCTTTCAGGCTCAGTGTAAAGTAGACCAAAAAGGAAAAGGAAACAAACTTCTTTCTTGTATGTTTTTTTTCTTGAGTTTTAAAAATTATATAGATTTAAGGAATACAATACGATATTTTGATAATAGGACCAATTAAAAATACGGTACCTTTTATTACAGCAAAAACACATTGCTGTCAACCCCTTTCTGAATGAATAACTTCTCCCTTTAAGCAAGTTACCCATCATTCTTGCCACCTTCTGAAACAGTACAAGAAGCCTTACTATGAGGTGTGAATGTTGCTACAAGCTCTGCCCCAAAGAAGGGCAGAGTATTAATCATATACCACCTGCCTACACTAAGGCTGTAGACTTATCCTGCATTGTGAGAAACACAAGTTGCTTATTGTTTAAGCCAAGATGTTTAGTTATGGAAGCATTAATAAACTTAAGCACAATTTTCTGAGCAAATCCTCATTTCCTTATCTACAGAATAATTATACTTGCAATTATTTTCTTTTTAAATTAGCTCAGAGTTACTACTGGGAAATGTTAATTTCTAATAAAACTCATGATTAGGGAGGCCAGTCTTTGGTCTGCTATCATATTGATTCAATTTTGTAGACAATTTCAATTTTTATTTTTGAAAGAAAGTAAAGGAATCCATGGAAGCAGGGAACATGCTGTGTGTTATGATTTGTGTTTGGTTGTCTCTCAAAGCCTCGTGCAGTCATTGGGGCGACTTCTAGAGTTTGTGATTAATTCATGATCCACCGCAGGGGTTATGGGTGTGAGTGCTACACCCGCCCTGGACTGGGTAGTCTACAGACAATGTAAGAGGAGACAGAGGCTTGCCAGCTGCCATGGCCTCTGCCCCTCCCTTTGCTCTCTGCTATTTTCTGCTGCCATGAACCGCTGCCCTTTGCCATGAGCCACTCTGCCTGGGAGCCAGCTGAGTAAGGACTGAAACCTCCACTAACTGAAGAGCTAAATAAACCTTTGCTTTCTTATTTTGGGTGTCAGGTATTTTGTCCCAGTAATGAGAGAAAAGTAACGGAGACACGAGGGACCATCCCCGCAGGCTCTCCCCTGCCCCTTCCTGGCACCCCTGCTCAGCTCCCCAGCAGCTTCCTCCAGGCCTCCACTCCTCGTGCTTTCCTTCTGCTCCCCTCTCTGCATTGCCCTGGGCCTCTCTCCAGGCTGTGCCTGCTGCTGGCCTTTCTTGCTTCTGGCCTTTTCCACTATGCCTGTTATATTCTGTGTGGGTGCTCACCTTGTGGTCTTATTCCTATGCTTAAAACTGTGCCCCGAGTCCTGGCACTCTTTAGATAAAACCTAAAGTCCCCACTGTGATCACAAAATCCTCCAGGCTCACACTTCTCTCAGACTACCTGCCTGTGATCCAGCATCCCTGAGCTGCTTCTGGTCCCTCAGCAATTGGGGTTCTTTTCCCTGGGTTCTCTTTTGAGGACACTCTTCTGCCTCTTGCTCCAACACTGAGCACTGTCCTTAAGGTCTCAACTTCACCGGCCCTGCATTCTGCAGGCCTTCCCATCTGTTCTGTGCTCCTGGGCCTGGTTGCCACCTTACTCTTGCCATTTTGGTGTCACCCACCTTCCTATCCACAGGTATTTCCTCATCCCAGGAAGCTCCTTGCATCCAGGACCTCTGCCTGACCTCTTCTCCTAGCATCTGCATTTGTGTGGGGGAATGGAGGGGATCTGTGTAGGCAGTGAAAAGCTACACCATCTCCTGCAGTCCAGAGAAACACTGGCAAACCAATTTGTCCAACTCATGCCTGGCTTCTAGAACTGAGTCCTTTTCAAGTGATTCTGTTGGGACCTATGATAATGCTCACATTCTCATTCCTTCTCACTCACTCTAGACCATCCTTACTGGGGCCAGGTCAGTGACAATCATGTCACAGAGCCCACCTCCCCTACCTGCCATGGTTGAGCCCAAGGACCTTTCTGAGTCCCTAGGCTCACTGCTAGGTCTTCGATGAGTTTTCTTCCCAGCGTGGTACTGCTGAAGATTGTGAGTGCCAAGGAGGGAGCAGTGGCCCTGCAGGCCGGGGCTGGGGGCAGTCTCTCTGGCAGGTGGTGTGGGTCCCAGGAAACTGGACTGGAGCAGGACACAGGCAGAGGCAGTGGATGGGGTTGCCTCCTGCGGGAAAGAGGTGGTGTGAGTGTGGGCTGTCTGTCCTCCTGCTATGACATCTGCACAGTCTGCTTCCTTTGGTTCTTTATCTTGCATGTGAAGATCACTTAGGCTGTATGATTGAGTCTTTGTGAATAAAAGCCTGAGAATAAAAGCAGGCATGGAAGGAGGAAAAGGCTGCCCAGTGCCAACACACCCTAGCCCCAGGATGTGTGTCTGTCATTGCTGGCTCCATGATGTTGCCTCTTCTGCCCACTGCAGCTGGATGGGAGCCATCCTGGCCTGCAGCAGCTGGGTCGCTTGGTGCTCTCGTACAGCACAGCCTCCGGCCTGCAACCTGGCCTTGCCGTGCTCCTGCGCTTCACCCAGGTCCTGTGTCCCCAGCAGGTGGACACGTCCCTTGGTTTATCTGCTGAGAACATTTGTTGTATTCTGCCTCCATTGTTACCTCTAGAAAAATAACGTTTAATAATTCATTTGATTCACCAATTCTGGAGACCTTGTTTTAGATGGATACAGTGGGCATTTCACCTACAGCTTCATGAAACTGGGCAGAACATGAAGAAGCCTGGCAGTTGTGTTTCATTGTTCTATTTGTCTCTGTTCCAGGTCTGGGGTCGAGACTTTGCCCCACAATGCCAAGGTTCACTACAACTATGCCAACTTCCTGAAGGACCAAGGCCGGAACAGGGAGGCCATCCACCACTACAGGACCGCGCTCAAGTAAGTCAGACAGGGGTGTGGCTGCTGTCTCAGGCCCCTGGCCCAGTGAGTGCCTCCCTTCCCAGGGCCGGAGGCCTGGTTGCTCCTGACACTGAACACATCCTTCCAGTGGGGATAGCGCTGAGCTGGAAGTCTTTGTGCTCAGCAGTTGGATCTGATATAAAAGTGAAGGGTCTGACCTGCTCCTCATGTGGTATTTTCTTGCAAAAGTTTGATTGCTGGCCGGGTATAGGGATATGGGCCTGTAATCCCAGAACTCTGGGTGGCAGTGGCAGGAAGATGTGAAGTTTGAGACTAGCTTGGAGCCAGTTTGTGACAGCAAGACACTATCTCAAAATAGAAAATAAAACAAAACAAAAAAAAAAAATGCTAAGGCTCTGCAGAGGTCCTGGGCTTAATCTCCAGAACTTCCAAAAGCTTTTTCCTACTCCAATGAATTGTTAATGGTACATGTTAAAGGATTTCTATCAAGATGTCCAAGTTAGAGATGAAATGCACTGAGGTTATATTAGACAGTGACACACACTTGATTACCGCGTTAGGCATGTGTTCACTCTGTGTGTGTCTGGGTACACATCTGCCCCACCATGCATTCCTCCAGTGGAAGGAGAGATGCCACACTGTGCCTTACACAGGCCTTAAAGGACAGGTACAGTGCAAATTCTGTGGTCCCAGCAGTGGGGAGTGGGTACACTGTTGAATCACCTTGCCTTTCCAGATGATTTTTCTCTAGAAGGTCGTAGATTATATAACCTGACATAAAATTGATACTGTTTTTTTGTTTGTTTTTCTTTTTCTTTTTTTGGTGGAACCGGGGATAGAACTCAGGCCCTTGCACTTGCCAGGGAAGCGCTTATTCCACTGAGCCATCTCCCCAGCCTGAAGGTCGTAGATTATAAAAGTGTTTAACTTAACACAGACAGACTGCAGTGTGGATCTGGCCCAAAGTCCTGAATCAAGGACTTCGTTTGTACTGTGGCAGTGCTGGGAGGGGTGGGACCTTCAGGTCATTGAGGGTGTGCTGGGGGAGGACCTAGCCCCCAATCTTCTGCTGCTTTGGGTCCTGTCCTGTGCCCCTCTTGTAATGTGCTGCCTCCCCTTGGTCCCTAGCACTGGGGCCAGTCCTAGACTAACACCCCAAATCCTATGAGCCAGGACATAGTTTTCATTTTATACATGACTGACTCACATGGCTTCTTAGTGTGACAGAATGCTCACCAGCATACAGGATGGCCTGAGAGTGGGACAAAGTGGGCAGAAGTGGGACAAAGCTACTTCTTCATTGAATTCTGTCTTAGTTACCTTTCTTGCTGGGACATATCACCCAAAGTTAAAGGAAGAAAGGTTTATGTAGCTTGCAGTTTGTAGGAGTTTCACTCCATCATCGGCTAGTGTGGAGACAGGGGTCTTGGCAGAGGAGAACAGTTCTTGCTGGGCAAACAGTAGCAAAGCAACAAACGGGCAACAGTTCATGGCGGCAAAGACCACAAACACAACAAGAGAGCAAAGACCTGTTCTGTCACTTAGGTTGTATTTCAGCTACCTGCCTTAGGATGGATGTAGCACTCACACCCTTAATCCCAGCATTGTACCATGAGTCAGTCACAAACTCTAGATTTAGTCACCTCTGAAAAGCCTGCTCCCCAGTGACTACAAGAGGCTTTGTGAGACATCGAGATACAAACCATAACGAATGTCGTGGCACTCCCGGGAGGCTTCTGGACCTTCCCCAGCTGGCTCGTAAGTGGCTAATGTCTGCCAGCGTTCTACTGCAGATCCTGTGCATCACATACACCTGCCAGATCCTGCTTTTCCCAAAAATGCTACCCGGAATTGTTTCAGTGCTTAGTGTAAATCATTGTTAGGGCTGGCCAGATAGCTCAGTGGATTAAAGCACCTGCTTAGGCAGCAACGGGGACTAGGGATTTGATCCCCAGCCTGCCATGCCAGCCCCACTCCTCAGGCATGCTGAGACAGCAAATGAGACTGGGCCTGGTGGCATGTGCTTGTAATCTCAACACTTGGGAGGCTGAAAACAGGAGGATCACTAAGAGTCCAATCTGTGTAGTGAGACCCTGTAGAGCCTGTACTAAAAAAATGCATAAAAAATAAATACATCATTGTTATGTTCTACAGAAGTGTATTATTTATCCATCCAAATTTTTTAGACTTTAAGACTTGCTACTTAATGTATAAAAGTTTAATGTTTGTATAAAATTTTAAATCATATATACTAAGTTGCTATGAAATGCTTTTTCATGTATTTGAAGAGATGAGTCCCAAAGGCATGACTGTAACTCAGGCTTTCTGTTGAGTTTTTGTTAAGAAAGAAAAGGTAATTTTAAAGATTGAATAAGGAATTATATTATTTAACTGGTAGGAAGTTTCTAAAATGTTTAAAATGCTTATCTCTGGTTGGTGAGATTATGGTTTGATTTTTTTTCTTTATAAATTTTCGTATGTTCCAGGTGTTGCACAATGTACTTGGTATTTTTGCAGCAAGAAAATGTCACTTTGTAAAGACATATCCTTTCAGAGAACACGTAACGTGTATTGTGGCTTTAATAATTAATCATTGTTTAGCAATTTTAGATGGTATTCTTGGAGGTAGGAAAAGAACAGTAAGTTTGTTTAAAAAATACTGGTGGAAAGAAAGCGTATTGGTATCCTTTAAATTTTATTTCATTATAATGATTTCCTGTCAAGTTCAAACACAAAAATAAGCCAGACCCTAAGGCACAGCTTGGGGCAAAGGTAGAAATTAAGCCCGATTCCCCGGCAGGTGATTTTACCGAATTCTAGTAGCTGGTTGGCTGTTTCCTCTTCTTGCCTGTGGAGGTGAGTGTTTGCCTCAGTAGCATGCTTCAGGAAGAAGCGAGTCCCATGAGAAATGAGGAAAATGATGGAGACGAGAAATATGCTGTGCAGTCATTAATGCTCTCAGACCCGATTCCAAGTGCTTCTGATGTAAAATACTGTTTTGTATGGATGCTCCGTGGTGATGTTTTTAGTCGATGTGGGACTGTTTTCGTGTTTAAATAAATTGTCACCTCTTCTCATGGAGAGAGCAGGGAAACACCAGGACTGTTCACCATCTTGATGCTCGCTGCCTCCGCGACTGGAAGACTGGCCTTCGGTTGAGATGGTCCTTTCTGTGGCAGCAGCCGGGTGGCTCCCCCGGGCGGCTCCAGCCCTGTGTAACCTGAGCGTGTCCTGTGTTTGCTGTGTCAGCGCACAGCAGGAGCCTGATTAGGAAATGGGAAGTTAGAGGCAGCATGACTGAAATCAGTTCCAGCAGTTGTCATTTTTCTATTCAAATGTATAGATGCCAGGTTGAAGTTAGCCTGAGGCTTGTGCCTCTTTTTAGCTGTTTTGCAATTCTAACAGCAGCATGGTGTTAAGTTGATAACTATATACAACATAATCTTTTCATTTTTTTTTTAAGTAATGTGGAAATGCTACTGACTTCTCTCTTTGGGTATACTTCCTGTGTTTCTGTAAGGCAGGAAACACCTTCCCTAGACACTGCTGTAGCTATGGCTGCATGTGCAGGTTAGGACCCAAAGCATTAAAGTTGTGGGACCCGGGCTTTTCCTTCTGTCCTTCCATGCATCTCCAGAGCTTTCTGGTCATTCAGCTTCTCTGGGGCTAGCTCCTGGCCCACCCCGCACCGTGGGGTGCCCAGCGCTCGCTCTGTTCCTGCACAGAATTCCTCTTCCCATCACCCCAGAGGAGGAGCGGCAGTTCTGCCAGAGTATGAGGTGGGAGAGAGGGAGTGTGTCCTTGGCCACATGGGTACTGTATCATTATCTTAAAAAGACAGTTAAAAGGGAATCACGAATCATGCATTCTTAAGGGCATACTTTCTTTTACCCTGAAATTTCAAATGTACTTCCATTAGAAAATCTTCCGCTGTTAAACCAAGTCCACTTCTCTGAGTAAGAATCTCCTGATTAGAATCTGCAAAATCGACATCCATAATCCAGTGCTATGATTGATGGTTTTGACAGTTTAAAGTGGAATAAAATTTAAGTGTATTTCCAAAGTAATTTTATTGGACTGAGATTTTTCTGATTTCTCTCTAGTTTTTTACAGTTTTATCATTTGCATCTAATTCAACAATTTTTTACAACTTCCTGTATTTTAGTATTTTTCGTAGAAACCACAATTGTTCCCCCCACATCTTTTATGAGTTTCCAGAATATTTCATTATGCTATGTGATTGTAGTGAATACTACCACTGATGTGTACATCTTCTGAGGCCCTCCACTAGAAAGTAACTTCTCATAGCAGGAGCCTTGGTGCCCTTGGTCCCTAGCTGCAGCACGGAAGATAGTGCCAAGCTCGCAGCACCTTGCACATGTGTGTGAGTGAGACAGTAGTACACATAAACATCCGTGGCTTAAAGTATCTGAAGAAGTCTTTAAATGGTAGCTGAGGAATAGTGTAAATACTACAAGCTATCAAGTATACAAATCATAAATTATTCCTACCAAGTATGCATCCACCTCCAGACTTCTCTTCCTCTTCCTAGGCACCCTGTGAATGAGGCATGAACTTGTGGTGATTAATTTTGTCTTGGGCCTAGATATCCAGATGATTCTAGCTCTTTCTGGGCCAGTGTTTTTCAGATGAAATTTCATTTAAGTGAGTAGACTTTGGCCAGAGATGGTGGTAATGCCTGTAATCTCAACAGCACAGGAGGCTGAAGTAGAAGGATTATACATCCAGCCCAGCCTGGGCAATTTAGCAAAAACCTACTCATAAAAGGGCTGGGGGCTGGGGAACTAGCTCAGCATGAAGACTTTGGATTCAGTCCCCCCAGTGCCATGAAGAAAAGAAAGAGATATAGATAATTCTGAAACAGATTATACAGAAATGCCCCACTGAGTCCTTCAGACTGAGAGAAAAAGATGCCTGGAAGGAGAGGGCACACCTCCTCCTGCCACACACTGCCTGCACCCCATCAGAAGTCCCTAACCACTTTCTGCCAGTAAATT